GGGGATACCGTTCTCACGAGCCTACAGGTCAAGTGTAGAAAAAAGGCAATATCTTAGCGGTTTCGAATCCACATTATCAGGTCACGGATACAAACAACTACTAACTGGCCTGAGGCACACGAACATTTGGCGGTCACTTACTTACTCCATTCGACATAATACATGCTCCGTCATAGCGTACTTTGTTTCCCTTAAGAGCTCCAAGGTTGATTGAGTCTACAATTCAAGATCCCGTGTGGCTTTTGATAGACAGATCTGCCCAGAGGAGCCTTTTGGGGAGCAGAAGATGTCGTCATCTGCTCCAACTGCTTTTCGCCCCTATCTTATGAGAGGCTATTGTGTAGGCTTTCGAATATGCTAGGTATCACAGCTAAATACTAACTTAATGTAGACTGCAATCAGCAAATATGTTCTGCATCTGAGATTGACTTTCCGGCGAGCGGCATCGGGTCAGTGAGACGAACGAAAAAACATTCAACTCCATCGACTCTTGATATTGAACTCGATGATAACTCACTTATTTTATTGAAGGCCAACATAAATTAAATATTGACAAAGAACTTAAATAACACTAGAACTCTTAAAACAGGAAAAGTCCAAACAACAAAATCGGTGTGTCTGATGATGTCAATGAATTTCACTCAGGTTTGCCAAGCAAAAGATGATCAAGCCTTTGCCGTTAAGCCAATGGGATCGTGAAGTTCATTCATTTCATTGTGGAAACTTCATTTGTTAGTTAGGAAATCATCTACAGGGATCCAGGGTCAATTAAGTTGTTAGTCAATACTTAGTTTCAGTCGGCCTTCTATTGTATAATTGAGCTCTCATTGAGATGAGATTGCATGCACCAAACGGCACCAGGGCCATATATTCTGGGTTCCCGTTGTTTATCCTTGAACTCGCAAGTTATGGGTCCATCTCTTGCTTGAGATGGTGAGAGAAATTGATTAAAGTCGAATCTGCGGGTCAGTTGGTACGAGAATGCCATCTTAGCGCGAAAAGAAATGTTGAATGAAATGGGCAATCAAGTATTCCCTTCACTTCATTATGAGTCCATTCATCATCAAGGGCCTAATATTAAAGTAGACTTAAATACTGCTTGGCTTGTTTGGTTCTCGAAAACTTAATTATAAACGAAATATAGGCTTAAGTCTCCTGCAAAGATGTGAGCAAAGCTAAGCCTGATTTGCCTTGGTCGAGGAAGTATCGTGTTTTCCTCTTAATCCACTGCATCATGGCCTAAAATCTACTAAGAGAGCGAGGAGTCGCAAAAAGTGTAGTCAAGTCCTGACAAAATAAGCATTTTTGGGTGAATAGCAAGGTGGCTTTCGATTGAAATCAAGTTGGTTCCTTAATTCATCAATCCCTCAAGCAGCAGACAAAATTGCCTACCTAGTTAAGGATAAGTTTCTTTATAACAGCAACTAATTCTAGTACTAAATTATAACTATTACTACTACTACTAAAAATAATATTTATAATAATTATGACAAGTGACTAATCCTAATAAATATTAACTGAATTCAGTACTAAGTACATTAAATTTAAACCTAAATTATTCGAATTTTACAAGTAATTTAGAAAGAAATGTTAATTAATGACAAAACCGCTAGCCAAAGGAGAGTTGCCTTTGAGTTGTAATTAAAGTTGTACGATGAAATCTTCGGCATAAAGTCCTGCGACTATGTCAATTTATGAAGCCATTCTAGCCTTATTTTTGAAATAAATTTAGAGTAAAATAAAATGAAACTAGTAAAGGGTTCTTCACATTACAGCTTTATTTTTAATCCTTAGCTAATAATTTTGTTATCAGCATGTTATGAAGGCATTTTCCGGGAAAATAGTCAACAAATTCTGTCTGGGATGCTTTCTAAGTCCTTTTCTTAAAGATACAAAGCGCACTTACCAAGACGATCGTAAGGGAAGACTCAAATTCCACAGAAGCCAGATTATTTTAGACATTCTTCTGAATATCAAACTGATAGTAATGACTCTTTTCCTTGGCTACCGAAAGTGCTCTCCTCCGTTAATGGCCGTGATGTCAAGATGGCATAGACATTCTCACCATTTTTTCGTTTGGTCTGAAGCCTTGAATATATGGCGCAGGCTTTTTGTATTGTCCGCATTTTTTACCAAAATAAATACCCCGCTGCTTCGTCCAAATTGTTAAGTTATGACAGCCATTACTGAACAGAACCGACCCAATCGCTCAAAGTTGGCACGAAACCCAGTTTTCGGATATATCAAGTTGAAGGGATCAAGTCTATGTTAAATATTCAGTTAGTTGCACATGAACTTAGGAAACGGGTGGAAGGAGTTGAAAATTGCGTCTCATTCTGCCCAAGTTGTGATCATGAGGATGCGAATAAGTCTTCAGATGTGATTTTGCAAACAAATCCCTTTCATTAAAACCCGAGGATCGCAGTGTTTAGCAGAGTCAAAAGCATCCTATGTAGCCGGGACGATTTGATGGAAAGCTTGTAAATGTTGGATTCGCCTTTCTCTACTCTGCTGCCTACCGATGGTTTTTAGATACAAAATCGGCTACAACATTGATAATCCGAAGGGAAGGATATCAAATATGCTCTGCCTCTGCTCACTATGGCTTCTAAGAGTAGCTTCCATGTTAAAGAAGGCAAAAGGACGCATGTAAAGCAGTGGCAGGTGAAGGAGTCGTCTTTCCTGAGGATTAGGAGGATCGCCGCATCTCTCTTCCTTTGAGCAAAATAAATGGTTGTGCATGAGCAAGCTGTAATTTTTATGAAGTCTCGACCAAAGAGTGAAATTGGATCCGCCTGTCGAGGAAATCCCGATGTCAAATAAAGCACAAAATGTCGTAATACCGCTTTGAGTGTGGCCAGGCGCTCGAATAGCCCCAAGCATCAGCAATAATGAGAGTCGAACCCAGAAGAGAGGCTTCAGTAACAGACCACACAATAGACCGAGTGAATGCACACCGCTTCTGCAAGGGACTCCGCTCAGCCTGCCAGTTACAAAAGTTACCCTTTCACCACTATGAGAGAAGAAATGCAAATCTCATCGTGGCCTCCTCGGGAGAAATAGAAAATTCGAAGTCTTTGAGATGATGTAAATGCAATAATGTATGTATTTATGGTCTGAATGTCTCGAGGGTATCAGTAAATTTTGAGTGAGAACTTAGTTCACATAGGATAAGAAAAGGACAGATGATTAACTTTTCCACAGAGTCACCAATTCGAGGAGGTCACAAAGAGCAGATGAATCCTTCAACGCAGACTAAGCCCCTCCAAACCACGTGTATTAGTCAGAGTGTTGATGAAGGCGAGATGTATTTGCCATTACAATTGACGAAACTACTTAGATTCGATGTGAGTAGGACTCGAAACTAGAAGCAACTCTTGAAGAAGACCTGTATCCTCCTCAGGAATCGTACACATTTGCATTTAATGCCAAAATTACGTAGTATGAACTGTGCACAGCCAGATCTGTCTTGGACAATGCATTCAACCTCCACATCCTCTCGAGGCTTGTTTGCGTCGGATAGTAGCAAAAAGGGTATGACATATTTTCCCGATTCCTGAACCTATGCTAGGCGCTGGTCCAGATGTGATGGTAGCAGCTCAGAGAACTATCATAACTCAGTCAGGATCGATGATTACCCTAATACC